GCCAATGACTGCAGAAATGGGGTAAAATATGTGACTTGGTGGTGGGCTGCAGTGGCTCAAGCCTGTAATCCCAGCACTTTGGTAGGCTGAGGCAGGCGGATCTCGAGGTCAGGAGTTTGAGACCAGCCTGATCAATGTGGTGAAACCCCATCTTTACTAAAAATACAAAAATTAGCTTGATGTGGTGGTGCACACCTGTAATCCTAGCTACTCAGGAGGCTGAGGCAGGAGAATCACTTGAACCCAGGAGGCAAAGGTTGCAGTGAGCCGAGATTGCGCCACTGCATTCCAGCCTGGACAGAGCAAGATTCTGTCTCAAAAAAAAAAAAAAAAAAAAGAACAAAAAAAAGAACAACAACAACAACAAAAAAGAACAACAACAACAAAAAAAAGAACATGTAACTTGGCCAGCCTAGGAATTGTGCCAATTGTAAGAAAGCTTAGGAGCAGAGGCTGTAGAACCGCCTAGCTACTCAGGAAGCTGAGACAAGAGACTCATTTGAGCCTGGGCATTCAAGCCTGTAGTGTGCTGTGATCACACCTAAGAATCGCTACTGCACTCCAGCCTGGGCAATAGAATGAGGGCTGTATCTAAAACCAAAATAAATTGTAGGACACAGAAAATGAAACCCTATTAATACAAGGAGTCATGCTGGGCTCTAGTACTGCTGCAGCACCAACTCCAGCAGAGGGAAGGGGCTCAGTCAACACTTGGCTAGGTGCATCAGCCTTTCTCCCAACATTCCAGGGAAGGATGGGGTGAGCCAGGTGACCCCTCCATGGGGTCATCAGACTCCATGGTGGAAGGTGGAGGAAACAGAAAGGTGGACCTGAGCCTGCTCACAGAGCCTGTTTTAGATAGGACCCTTGCAAAAAACACCACGTCCTCTTCTTGCATTTGCAGACAACACTCAGCTATTCAGACAACAGGAATTCCACAAGACTGGGGTAGAAAACAGCCAGAGTGAGGCTGGTGGTCCTGGGCCCACCTCAGCTTGGATTGATCAGATCTGTTAGCATGCACCTGACTGAACTGCCAGACACCACTGCCTGTTCTCTGTGAACGGAGAGTATTGCTTCATTACATTACCATTGTAGATCAGAGACAGAGGTGAATCCATCACTAACAGGAGTCATGGGAATGAAGGCTGATGCTTCTGGAGGGCTGCCTGTGGCTGGCCCCTGCTCAGTCACTGCCTCAGTCCTTACTAGAATCCTGGGAGGGTGGGGTCTAGATAAGAGAGTGTTTGTTCGGTCACGTGTTGTAGATAACTACTTAATGTTGGCAAAGAGGAATTTATTGGAAAACAGACAAATGTCTCCTAGGTAGAACCAAAGGGCAGGAAGTTCAACACCTTGCCAGAAGCTGAACTGCACACAGCAATCACTTTCCCACACACCCCCAGGCCGCTTCCTCCCCCAGCTCAGCCGTCAGACCAGATCCGAGAAGGATGCTCAACCCAAACCTAGGTTCCGGGAGAGATGAGCTGATTGGCCCAGCTGGGGTCAGTGGTCCACCCCTGGTCCAATCGGGTCTGGCTAGGTGGGTGGGGTTACACGGTACAAACACAACTGCTAGAGTCTACACTTGCGGGTCCAGTTCTCAGCACAGGAGGGCTTAGCCTGGGCGTCCACCTGCATCCTCCACGGCTCCTATTAACTCCACATGGCCGAGTGGGAGACGTGAAGACACATTTCTAGTAAGCGGTGGGGCTGGAACTCACATGGCTCAGCCCACTCCAAGCTCGTGTTTTGACCAGTGTACTACAAATTCTCCAGCTCAAACTTCTCTTTATAGCCTCTCCCCACAGTGTTTTACATATATGCTTGATCTTGGGTTCAATTCAAGTCAATCCGCATAGATTGTATGTCTTTAGTGTACTGGACCTCATGAGAAAAACAGTAAGACCTACATGCTGGTCTCCAAGAGCTTCAGGGGGGTTTGCGGGCAGAGCTCTCAAGTCTCAACAGACTCTTCCAGGAAACCAGCAATGAGGAATGTTCCAGCGGGGGGTGCCTGCCGTGCTGTCTGAGTGTGCAGGTATTCATTTCAATTTGGAGCACCAGGCAGGTTTAAATAGAGAGGACAAAAGTTTCAGTGGCTTTAAATAGGATCAGTGATGTCATTTTGTTTATTTGCTTGAGACAAAATCTCACTCTGTGGCCCAGGCTGGAGTGCAGTGGTGCAACCTCACCATGCTACAACCTCTACTTCCAGGCTAGAGTGCAGTGGCACGATCTTGACTCACCGCAACCTTTGCCTCCCAGGATTCAAGTGATTCTCCTGCCTCAGCCTCCCAAGTAGCTGAGATTACAGGTGTGCACCACAATGCCCAGGTAATTTTTGTATTTTTGGTAGAGAAGGTGTTTCACCATGTTGGCCAGGCTGGTCTCGAATTCCTGACCGCAGGTGATCTGCCCACCTCGGGCTCCCAAAGTGCTGGGATTACAGGCATGAGCCACCATACCTGACCGATGTTATGTTTTTATGCAGATTTTGCTCATTATTTATTACGGAGAGTATGTGGCCACCACATTCCTCCTGCTTTGGCCTCCAAACAGCTAAATCCTGACCTGGTGTCTGTGCCCATGAAATTGGGGAGATGTCCACAGAGAGCCTTGGAAAGGCCAGGACATTGTAAAATTAAAACAAAGCAAAACAAAATTGATTTGCGGTAGCTTTGTAAAATTAAACACACACACACACACACACACACACACACACACACACACGAAAGACCAGGACAGATGTCTGGGTCATCTCTCCACTGTCTAAATGTGGGATCTTTCAGGCTGACTCCAGCAGAACAGGCAGCAGATCAGCTTCATGGTAGCTTTGACCTTTTTTCTCACAAGTAGGGATTCAGGCCAATTAGAAGACCTCTTAGATTTCTGTGAACTCAAAAGCCGGTATGAAACAGACACATTTTTGATAATGACCCATAAGGCAACCACACAGCCTTGAGGGTCAGGTTAAAATGGAATAGTCAAATTCATGGAGAGAGAAAGTAATATGGTAGTTATGTCCAAGGCTGGGGGTCACATATTCTACCCCATTCTTATAGAGAGACAGAAAGTAACTCGGTAGTTGTCCAGGACTGGGGGCATGGGACTGTGGTGAGGGACTGGCTAATGGGGCAGAGTTTCAATTTTACAAGACATGAAGAGTTCTAGAAATGGATGGTGGTGATGATTGCACAAGTGCACTTAATACTACAGAGCTATACATTTAAAAATGATGAAGGTAGGCCAGGCATGGTGGCTCACACCTGTAATCCCAGCATTTTGGGAGGCCGAGGAGGGCGGATCACCTGAGGTCAGGAGTTTGAGACCAGCCTGACCAATATGGTGAAACCCCCAAAAAACACAAAAATTAGCTGGGCGTGGTGGCAGGCACCTGTAGTCCCAGCTTCTCGGGAGGCTGAAGCAGAAGAATTGCTTGAACCCAGGAGGCGGAGGTTGCTGGGAGCTGAGATTGCGCCACTGTGCCCCAGCCTGGTGACAGAGCAAGACTCTGTCTCAAAAAAGAAAAAAAAATGACTAAGGTAACCTGGGGGTGGTGCACACCTGTAGTCCCAGCTACTTAGGAGGCTGAGGCAAGAGGATCCTTTGAGCCCAGGAGTTCAAGGCCATCCTGGGCAATATAGTGGAATCCCATCACTACCAAACAAGCAAACAAAAAACGTCAGATGGCAAATGTTATGTATTTTACCACAGTAAACAAAAATTGGGGAAAATATGAGACTATTGGGTCTACAGCTGATGTCTACTAGTGTGAGAGTCTTGGGTGCTGTCACTTCCTTAAACAAGTCTGTAAACCTTACAGATGATCTGATGGGTGGGGAAATTGTGCTAGTAACCTGGTAAAGAGAGAGAAGCAAACAGCGAGCGCACACATACACGCATCTCTTCTGCCCCCTAGTGAACGTTTAGAATTCTAAACTCTATTTGCTTAAAGTCTAAAGAAAATTGCAATGTACTATATCATTCTACAATTTTTTAAGTTGTTAAATCTCACAGGAAATATGTGCACATTATTTTTTATTTTTTATTTTTTTTTGAGACGGAGTTTCGCTCTTGTTACCCAGGCTGGAGTGCAATGGCGCGATCTCGGCTCACCGCAACCTCCGCCTCCCGGGTTCAGGCAATTCTCCTGCCCCAGCCTCCTGAGTCGCTGGGATTACAGGCACGCGCCACCATGCCCAGCTAATTTTTTGTATTTTTAGTAGAGACGGGGTTTCACCATGTTGACCAGGATGGTCTCGATCTCTTGATATCGTGATCCACCCGACTCGGCCTCCCACAGTGCTGGGATTACAGGCTTGAGCCACCGTGCCCGGCCCACATTATTTAAAAAATAAAATCAAATACATGTATAATATAAAAACTGGAAGTCCCACTTTCACTCATGAGAGTTGACAGTTTAATGTATATCCTTCCAGATTTTTCTCTATTAAAAATATATACAGGTACACTTTTTTTTTCCTTTGAGACAGGGTCTTCTCTGTCTCCCAGGCTGGAGCGCAGTGGTGTGATCTTGGCTCACTGCAGCCTCGACCTCCTAGGCTCAAGCGATCCTGCGATCTCAGCCTCTTGAGTAGTTGGGACTACAGGTGTGCGCCACCCTGCCCAGCTAATTTTTAAATTTTTTGTAGAGAGGGGGTCCCACTATGTTGCCCAGGCTGGTTTCAAACTCCTGCACTCAAGGTGATCTTCTTTTCTGAGCCTCCCAAAGTGCTGGGATTACAGGCGTGAGCCACCGTGCCCGGCCCCATGCACACACTTACGGCATTTTGTATGAATGGGTTTAAATGGTACACATCAGTTTGCGAGACAGAGGCTGGCTAAATGCTCATCAAGCCTATTTTTGGGGCACACAGCTGGACTCATCTCCCAGTTAGGTGTGGCCAGGTGCTCTGAACAATAGAATGTGGGTAAAATAATGATTGCCACTTCCATGCCCCACGCATAAATTTCTCCAACCCCTGATCGCCGACATTTTCCTTTCTCTTTCTGCTTTGGTGATGTGTGGAGAAGGAGGGAGCCTGGGCCTCTGGATGACTGTCTGGAGCAGAGCTGCCCCCTCCCAATGGACATGCTTTGGGCTATGCCATCAGAAAGAAATGTAGCTTAACTG